ACTACGCTGTTTGCTTTATTATTGCGTAGTGAAAATCCATTTTCAGCAATTGGAAACTTGCTACATTGCATAAATTTTTTATTTTACAATTGAAATTTTTATTGTAACTAAATTAGTTTCGTATAGAAAGTTTTTAATCAAAGTTTGAAATGTTTAAATTTTAACCTCAAACTAAAAAATCCAACTAAACTGAAGTTTTTGTAAAATTTATTATAAGTACTGAAAATTAAACCAAAAACTAACAAAAAAAACAAGTAAAAAAATTTCAGTTGGTATAAACCGATTGAATTATACCCTGCACCTTTCATTGTTATATAACAATTACTCGAGCTTCTGAAACCATTCTATAGAAACTTCATGTATATGTCTGACCTATAATTGGACATACGACTGCCAAGTTTCATGAATCTCACTTTATAATTTTTCTAAATATTTAAAATTAGCTTTTAGACTTGTATGGGAGCTACCCGAACCTGATAAGCAATTTAACCAAAATTTTGTCAAAAATAGTTAACATTTTACAAAGACAATTTATTTAAATTATAATTTGTATTATTATAAAACATAAGTACTTTTTATTACTTACCATCATCATTCTCCATTTTGTTTGTCTTTTTAAAAATTTAAAAATAAAAAAATATAAAACTGACAGTCGTCATTCGTACCAAATGTCATATTTTTTTAAACCAAAAAGAAAGTCTGCAAACCGGTCAGTGGAGTTCTGCAGCGATAATCAATAACGCGCTGCAATTCATCAAAACGTTTAAGCTGGCTGAACGTACCCAATGATTTATAATGCAACACTTTTCCCTTCAAAAAGTGAAAATACTGCATTCATATATCAAAATATTTCAAGGATTGCATACATTTAAGGTGAGACAAAAAGTAAATTTTGTCTCATCTTAAATGTATGCAATCAAAAGTTTGGCAATACTGTAAATGTGTCAAGACGTATTTTTTTTTCCGCTCTACTTAATTTTTTTTCAAAAAAAATTATATTTAATATATAAAAACTTAAATTAACTAAACTTAGTTAAAAGAAGTTTAGTATTGTTATAAAAATCGCTTCTTTAAAATTTTCTTGAAATATTTTGTAATTTCATCTAAAAAAATTACAATAGGACCAGAAATAGGAAAAATTAACCTAGTGCGTTAGGTGAACCTGAACTACAAATTCAATTCAACCAAATATTGTCTAAATTAAATGATATAAATAATGAGGTGGAGGGTTTGTGTGAATTGGTAAATTTTCTTAGCCTTAAATATGATGAGGAGTAGATTAAAAGACAAAATAAGGCTCCGAATAGTGAAAAAGTTGACTTGATTATAGTAATACATAATATGCCAGCAGACAAATAATAATGATCTGCGGTTCTAATTACAGTACAAATAGTCATATATCTCAGAAAATTATGGAAGCTGCCGCTCAGAACAAAAAATTAATACAACTCTTACAGATACAAGTGATGGTGAAGATGATAATTATCATCTAGATATAATCTAGATCTTAACAATATGTTTGTTTTTAATTTTATATTTCTTATTTTTATTTTATGTTAATACCATATGAATTTTGAGAACATTGAACATTTTAGCACTTATACAAAAAATCATACACATAACCTCAATTTTATTTCCTTTAATGCGAGAAGTATTTCATCTCTTGAGTTTAGATGCTTATGTAATATGTTTAATTTACTTGCCTACCTGATGTTATAATGGTTCGGAAGACCTGGTTCAATACATCATTTGATGACTCATATGGGAGGGAGGTTTACAATTAATATTCACAGATCAATTAAATACGAAACTATTAATAATATTAATCACGGTTATTTAAACGTCATATCGATTAAACTTAGTGCAATTTTATTTAATAGTAAATCATTTAACTTTAAAACAATTATTAATGTATCCCAGCAGCCATGTATATTGCCGGGCAATTCTATTATAAATTTTTTTGAAAACAATAATATTACAGATGATATCATAAATTTTCTCTCTTCTTTTTACTATTTTCACTATCATAATTGTATTACAAGGACTTTAAATCGATCCTGTGTAGATAATATGTTTACGATTGACACAATTTTAGATTCAAGCATTTTCAACATTTAAATAATATTAGCGATTACTTTATTATTTCTATTTTCTTAAACAAATGTATTATTGAATCATATACTAAAAATATAATTAAATCCCAAGCAAACTTCCCCGTAATTAAGATTGGCATCGAGCCGTCCATTATCACTGAAAAAATATAATCAACTAAATCCTAATGATATGTGCTCTAATCTAATTTCTGAAGTCCATCAGATAATAAACATGAATACTTCTTTCTTTGATAACTTCACAAGAATAGATCAAATTGTAAAAAGTAGTGAATAAATGAAATTGTAAAAGTACCAGATATGAAAATGACCAAAATAAGTTGTGGTATTTCTTAAGTAATATATGAGGTAAGGCATAAATATATGAGTTTAATTGAGGACGAATGTAATAATTATTTCGTTGATATTGGACAAAAGATTGCAAACTCAATTAGCTGATCTCATAGCGATATTAACTTTTTTAGTACTTTAAATATAAATTACGCGGTGTGTCATTTTGTTGATATAAGTAAATCTGATGTTTTAGACATTATACAAAGTTTAAAAAATACAAATTCTGTGGGATGGGATTCTCTAGGGGTGGGATTAGCATAAAAACTATAAAAGAATACGGTAGTCACTTCTCAAAAATTCTACAACGCTGTATTCATATGTATTGGATTGTATAATTTATATCCATTAAAAATTCATAAAGTAATGCCGATACTGAGGAATTAATGTTGTCGCCGATGTCGAAAATTATAGACCAATTACTGTTCCTCCGATTTTTGCAAAAATAAGTGAGGATTGAAAAATATAAAAAACTTGAAAAGCAGTACGGTTTTAGGAGGAGAATTGGTTCTCAGAATGCCCTTGTGGACGTTTGTGAAAATTAATTAAACGGTAGGGAACATTTTGTTTAATTTAAAGATTCAAAAAGCACTTTACATTTGAATATATTTTAATTTTTATTATATTTTATATTAAAATTTAACCAAACTATGTATACAAGAGTTTCAATAATGCCCATTGGGGCGATGAAATAAAAATCAAATTTTAACTTAATTAAATGAAAAAAGTTTAACGAGTCGTTAATAAATGCGTTTGAGTTTTTTTTAAATTAAAATTTCATCAATTTCACTTATCTCCTTTTGTTTGTTCCTTGCATTTTAAGTTAATCAAATATTATTGAAAAAATATTCAAAATTATTGAAGAGATGTTTAAACTGACCGAAATCTGTTGACTTTAAAATTTTTTTTTTCTATTATTCGATGATTTAGAATAGATGAAACTAAAAACTAACAAAAAACAAGATCACTAACATTCTATGTAAATATAGTAAATAAGGTAAATGGCTATATTACGGACTTATTTTTTTAAACAATAGCATGAAATTATTAATATTTTGTATGTTTTAAAGTTAGGGCAAAGGAAGATATGTAATAAATTTAAAAAGATTATTGATTACAATATAAAATAGGTAGTGATAACATTTGTTACGCATTATATGCGTAGCATACAAGAAGCATACAAGAACTATTCAGGTTAGAGAGAGTAAAAACAAGAATGGATGAATGATGGAATATTATGGCTTAAATAAAAATTAGGGATTCTTATATTAAAAGAAAATATTCGACTAAATCGTGGGTACAGGAACTTTATCAAAAATAAAGGGCCAGAGTGTCAAAATCAATACAATGCTTTTGCAGGACAAAAAGTGTTATTATTCTGACAAACTGTAATGCAATTCTAATAATAATCGTTAATTTAGTTTCACAAAAAAAAAATCTCCGTGTGTTATCAGTGAAATCGAAGATAGTGGTGAAATTGTTAGATTGGATCTGCAATTGCAAATATAATGATTAACTTTTTTTTGTGAATGTTACCTCTGGGATTATGGTATATCTGATGCGCTAATAGATCGCGATTGTATTACTAACTTTTTGAGGAATATATAAACTATATGCTGAGGAAGTAGGGCTCAAACTATGTTTTTTCAAAACAAAGCTTTAATGATAAAAATTTTTTCTTCGGCAATGACATTATACAGATGGTCGAAGTTTTCAACTATCTTGTTCTGACCCTAATAAAATGTGTAATAAAATATGTGGTGTAATAAATATGGCTGTTATGTGTAATAAAAATCGTTAAACCTCGTGGTAGCTACCATAGCACTTAAATAGTAGTTTGGCCATATTTTAGAAAATATTGAAATTACATATAGTACTGAAATTATAACAGGACAAATTAAAGTCATAGTCTGTCCCATATGTTATACATAACATATATGTATGGTCAACTATATTTTTCTCATTTTATTTTGATTTTTTTTTCGATGCGCTACAATGAGTGATAAAAGTTAACCCATATAACATTTTCCTCTATCTCTCATAGTTTTGCCACTAAAATATGTGAAACACCCTGTATATACATAATAAATAATAATCTGATATATACATATAATAAGTAATTATATACTTATTATACTAGTTTTTTGAATATACATATGTATGTATTATAGCTATATGTGTGAATATGTGCAATAAAACTTTACTTCAAATATTCAAACTTAATTTTTATGATTACATTTTTATTTTGAAAATATTAAATCAATTCCTTTTATTAAGTATAATAATAAGCAATTGATTAATAAAGAAATTATAATAATTTGCATGTATATGCATATGTATGTACTCATTGTTATGCTAAAATATATATAGACATTATTCTTAAGAGTAGTTGAAATTGAAATTAATTCATATTGAATAATTACATATGCATATGAACTTGTGTTAATATTTTAATTAATTATTTGAAAATTATGTAATTAACTTTATTATTACGAGTTAGAAGATACTATGTTTACATATAGATGGAAAAATGTTAAAATATATTTTTTTTAATTTAAGATCGATGATCATAAATTTGTATTAATTGTCACATACATGCAACCACGTTACTTAGTAATTATACATGTAAATTTTAAAAATTGAAATAAAAATTTATTAAGTTTATTAATAAATAAAGTAAGAATTAAATTAAATAAAAATTATTAAAAAAAAAAAAGAACTAAAGAATTCAAAATAAATTAAAAAAAATAAAAGAAAAAAAATATAAAATTAAATCAAGAAGTGCTGTAATCTTGTATTAAAGTTCCATTTAAATAAATAAATAAATAATATAAAAATATAAAAAAAAAAGTAAAATACACACAAAATAAATTTTTTTTTAAATCAAAGACAACAAAACAAAAAAAAAAAAATCGAAATAAAAATAATTGTAAGTATTTTTTATTGTTAAATTTTTTATTTTTACATTTTTATATTTACACTCTCTCCACCCTTTGTACTCTCCGGGTTAAATAATGTTGCGTCCGTATTATGATTTTCGAATCGTTCTCGAATTGAAACACAGTGGTATTGTGAATTTGTGACAAGAGGTGGCAAGAAGATATGACAAATAAAGAACTATAATTTGATAAAATTATAATTCTATAAATCCTACTAATTATTATACTCGTACGGATTTGGTTGTGTAATAATTTGCAAACAGATACAGGCAAATAATGCGAGGTGTACAAGTAAATAGTTTAAATATCTAATTCACTTAAATTATATTCACTTGATTCTTGTTAATGTTGTTTCATTTTTTCTTATCAAAATGTTTAAAATCAATTCTCTGATGATCTAGCTAGTGGACTGGGATATGGCTCTTTGGAAAGGTTTCGTTAGATGGAAGCTTTTCTTTTTTTTACCACTTTTGCCAAAAAAAAAATTGTATTTCATTTTTATATTTTTCACCCTGAGAACGTCTATATATTTTTAAAAGTTGCAGGGAATGTTTTACAGTTATATCTAAACATATAAAATGCAATAAAACTTTAGTTCGTGTGTCTGGGCCTCCTATTCTTTATCTCGCTATAAATTTCAATCCTACATTAAGCGTGGATGTGTGGGGCATAGGTGGTGGTTTTAACTTTGAAAAAATTTCATTTTTAACAATTACAGTGAGGAAGGTTAGTGAGAGTGATTTAAGAGTATAAATATTAATTTTTGGTAAAATTATTTATTCACTGTTTAAATAAATTAATAAGTTTCATTAAATATTGTGTATCATAAAAAAGGGCTATAGCTTAAGAATAATTTTTATGATGATTTCACTTTGCATTTTTGTATTTGTGTGTTCTTATCTTTAAGTAACTCACTCGACAATTTTGTCGTCAGTTCTCTTTTACATACGTTTTTTTAAGAAGTCACATAAATTTTGATTTTTTTCATTAATGCAAATTTTTGTAACAGAATAAATGTAACTTAGGGGTAGGTCATTAATATTCAGCTTTTTATTATTTTATTCTTAGGTGGGGGAGGGGGGTTGGAAATTGGCTGATGGCGGTGCCCGATTGGATGGCGAAGATTTAAACTTTTTTTTTCTTTTCTCATTTTGTTTTGTTTTACTATGGGAGCGCCTGACTATCCTTTTTTACTTTCTTTTTGTTTTTATTTAAATTCTTTTCGATTATCTTTGGCTATTTGTTGCATAGAATTTAATTTACATACATTTATGATAAATAAAAGGAAATGTCAAAAAAGGAAAGGAATGAAAAAAAAAATTATGAATTTATGAAGAAAAATTGACAATAAATAAAAGGAAAAATATATGTATGTAATTTAATAATGGAAAAAAATAGTTTTAATTTTTAAAGAAGGTGGGTTCCATTTATTCGAAGGGAGAAACCTACCCCTATTATAAGAAAGTGAATTAAATGAGAAATTAATCTATTTAAAATCTGTTTATATGTCTGTATATTTTTGTTTTTAAATTTTAAGAATATTATAGATTCATAAAATTTTGGGAAAGTGAAGAGAAATTAATGAAATTGATGAATAATGGAGGGGAACGGAATTGTATTGAATGGGATAAAATAGGTGACAACGGAAGTAACGGGGAGTAAATGAAACGAATTACAATGAAAGGAAGGAAAATTTGTGGCAGTGCGTGGAATAGAATGTAACGCAAGAGAGCTTAGAGAAAGGAGAGAGAATAGAATAAAATATAAGGAAAGAGAAATTGAGGAAAGAAAAGTGAAAGAAAGGAAAATCAAGAAGAGGGAAATGAAGAAAAATGTTGTGATGAAAATAAACGTGAAGGACAGGGAAGAAATGGATGAAAGAGTTGTGAGTAAACTTTTAGGAAATTCGAGAAAAACAAAGAAGTGCTATAATTGGGATAAATATACTTCACTTGTCTGTACGTGCCATTACTATTTTTGTACGTTCGAATATTTTTTTTTTCGCAATTCAAAAACAGAAATAAGTAACCTAATTGTAACTCAACTAGATAACTAAATAAAAAGAAATAAATTTATTATACTTAATGTTAATTATAAATAATTCGTAAACATACATACATATAAATCTTAAAAGAACAATATATTTAGGAAAAAGAGAAAGCTAAATAGGAAATAAATTAGGCAAGGATTGGAAATGGTATAGGTAGGCGAAGAAGGCATAACTGCGGAACATAAGGCATAAGTTTGCATGCAAGATGCGGTGAATATGGGTGCGGTAATTGGTTTATTTTTCGTGTTTCACATAATGTCCACAATGTTCAAATATAAACACATATTCTACATATACATATAGATTAGGCAAACATTAAAGCTTCATAATTTAAAAGTATGATTAAAAAATATGAAATTTTATTTTTAGTATTTAGCAAAAAGACAAGTTTTTTTTTTTAATTTTAAAATATCCAATAGGGTTATTATGTAAATAGGCTTTTTCCTGCACAATAATCTTTGTCGGTGGTTTTAGTTTTGATAATTTTCTTTGCGATTGCAATTCATTATTGCAATCATCATTTCAAATTTAAAATTTTAAAAGAAGGCACCCAATTTCGTATATCGAGTTTGCGTTGGTGTCTTCCAGTCCATTAATACCGTTGTCGTTGTCCAGTTATGAAACTGTTTTTGAAATATTTTGATCATTTTATGCATTGATCATCAATTCATCCTTAATAATTTTCCCCATTTTGTTAAAAAAAAAAAAAACAATTCAATGTTACACAATACAGTTTAATGCTATTCTTTGTAGCTGTTATCACCGCTACTATTCTGTCACCGTTATCGCTCCAGTTGAAATAGTTGTTGCGATCCAGAAAAACACAAAGTGTTGTTGTGATTGCGAATTTGGACAAAAATTGTTATTTGCGTAGGTGTCATTTAGTTTTCGCTCTATTTTACAATTATAATTTGTTCAATCAAATAGCCCGAATGAACAATGTATATGTAGTCTCGATTATGTTGTAATCATTTTGTTAATTTAAAGATTCACAAAATTTTCCAAAAAGTATTTTGCGAATATACAATTAATTTCCTTGTTTGTATTTGAATTAATTTAATTTTTTAATTTTTTGTTTTTTGCAATTTTCCATTGCCGTAAATAAAATTTATTAATTATTTCCTTGTTTTTTCATTTTGTTTTGTTATACACCAAAAATATCACTTTAATTGTATAATATGTTTATATTGCAGGACAATCGGAAGGAAACCATTAGTTAAATGTTTGCAAATGCAAAATCATATAGAATTTGATTACATCATTTGCCCATAGAGGGCATTCAGGTAACTAAAAAAAAAAAAAATAAAATAAAAAATACTTTCATGTAAATTTTATATTTTTTTCGAGTTTATAACTACAAATTATTTGGTTGTTACGGTATACGATAGAACGTAATGAAGGAAAGGTTTTAGTTTTTCTGAAAGGTGTGGAGCGCCTAGATAATTTTTTCAATTTTGCTTTTTCTGATTATTCTTTTGTTTTTGTTTTTCAGCCATTTGTCTTTTTTTTGGTAATAACTTAACAAGACTAACTTCCAAAATGTATAATTTTTAAAATTCAATTCAACTTAGTGATGAATTACTGAATTCAATTTACTTAAATATATAAAGTTTTAAATTGATTTCAAACCTCATATTCCTGCATCATATGGATTGTAAATATATATTTGTAGCAAAAAATATGCTTTGTACATGAAAATGCATAAGGTGCGTAATCTAAGTTTTGGTATTTCATAATGACATTTGTAAAATCGCAACTTTAATTTTGAAATTAGCAAGCCACTATCGAATTTTTCTTATTTGAAACACATTTTCCAAAAATATTATGAACAAAAGAAGCCAGTTGTTATTTCAAAAATAAAAAAAACTATTCACGCCATCTCTGTGATCGATGAATTTCGGTTCTGATCCCAGTAGTTCAAATCGAGTAGTTTTTCTGACCTTAACCAAAGCATTCTTATACACAATGTACTTTATAAAAGCATTTAAGCATTTTCAAAACGGAATAGTAAATTATTTTATTGATTTAAAAAAGTGTATGAAATCGACCCTCTACCCATAGTGCTTATATAGTTATCATATACCATATATGGTGTAAGAGAAAATTATTATTTATATTGATAAGAGTAAACAGTTTAATTGTATACTTACTCTGACAAAGGAAGTAAAAAAGCAAACCAAGTAAAAAAAAAAAAGTAAAAAGTTAGAAAATTTTAATTTACAATGTTTTTTCATCTACAATTATTTTAAGTTCTCAACTACAATATTGTCAAACCTTCAACATTATTTCATTTTGTTTTTGTTTTTGTGTGTGTGAATTGAAAAGCATTTCAATGTAAAATCTGAAGCCAAACAAAAATCAAAAGCCAATTTGTAATAAAGAATTTATTTTCTTGCTTTAAATTTTGAATTTATTTTTATGATTGCTACTGGTTTCAGTGCATATAGTAAAGAAAAGTTAGAAACATGGGTATCGTAGGAAAGGCAGAGAGGGAGGGGAAGTCGGTAAATGTTTTTTCAAAACTTATGTTTTGTCAGTTAATTTCGAAAAACTGATTAGATTGTTTTTTTCCAATTTTTTTTCTAATACGAGGTATTTCTTTTTTTATTCTTGGCATCATTTTTTAGTTTTAAATGTAAGCTCAAATTGCAGAAAATTTATTTATGAGCCGTCTTTATTTAAATGTCAAACTTAAAATAGTTGCCGGATTTTAATCTTGCTTTTCCATCTTTAATTAATTTTTTCCTGATATTTTATTAAAAAGTATTTAAGAAACCCCAGAAAGAGTGTCCTTAATGCACAGCTAAGCCATTTTCGCTTTCGTTCACTAACAGAGTCTCTAGTTTCTTTTACGAATTTGTATTTTTTTACGAGAAATTTATTTTCAAACTAAATTTGATTTTGGAATGGCTCTCTGTCTAAAACTTAAAGCAATAGTTTTGTTTGAGAAGTATTTACCGTTTTTTAAATGTAGTTATTAATAAGGTAAAGAAACATTTCGGTTAAAAAAGTGTTGCAGTTAATTTTAAATACGAAAAAGGACAGTTTGGCCTTACAAAAAATGTGATGGCCCAACGCAGAGAATTTTCTACTTTATTAAAAGAGTGTTTTTGGCATATATTCTAAAAAGAAACAATTGGCTTTTGTCAAATTTTCTAAATATAATAATTTAGCAACATCAGTCGAACAGCTTTTAAATCATTAATTTGACTATTACTTGTGCGTAACTAATATTTATACCAATCGATAGTTTTTACGTTATATACAGAAAATTAAATGTCAAAGCGATATTTGATATAAATTTGACAATTAAATGTCAAAATTAACACATGAAAACTTGTATGGTAATTTTTACTTCTTGTAAAAATATACAAAATAGTGCGTCCCATTAGCAAGTCAATCACAATTACTCCGAGTTCAATATAATTTGACAAATACCAATTTAACCTTAAGTCACTTTGTTGTGTTCTGCTTATGTTAAACTTCTTTTTCTGAAGAAAAAGAATGATTAAACTTTGAGAACTTTATGAACTAAATTTGTTTGAAATATGTAAATTAAATAAAATTGTTTTTTTTTTTTTCCTTTTTTAATAATATTTTAAGCTAATTTTTTTTAATTACAGATCTTGTCCACATACATAAATGTTTAAAAATTTTATTTGGTAAATGAAACGGTGATCTCGTACAAAATCTGTCCCACAATTGGTTTGGTAAGTTTTGTATAATATTATTTGAATAAATTTGTGTTTCAACTATTAATTATTTGTATATACGAGTACAAACAAGATTTCTGACTAGTATTCCTGATTTAAAATTTTAAATGAATATTCTTTTATTATGCATACGCTTTATGTTTATATAGATTTAATGCAATCCTTATTCGAATATTAAAGATTTTATAGATTTGCGGTATTGGTTTGGGATTATAATATTTATTATTGAAAAGATATACTGTGTGCCTCACTTTAAAATAGATATTAGACATGACGCCTAAGGTACACTCCTCCAGGGAGCCATCTTCCCAATTAATGTGATTACAAGAGTAATTTGTGTGTGTGAACTCCACGCGAAAATGTTTTTCATATATTACCGTGTCCGCATATGAAAAATTTCAGTACTGTAATCTCACCAGTTTTTAATATATTATTATCTAATAAGTTTCGAAGTTTTATGACTTACCACAACGAATTAAAGAATTTCAGGAATTTATATGTAAAAGTTTCAATAATATATTTGCGTGTACTAACTTTCAATACTAAAGTTTCAATAAATTTCTGAAATTTAGCCAAATATTTATTGAAGTTGCCTTAAGTTTGTTTATACTATAATAAATCATTTTATGAATATTCGGTGAAATTATCTCAACTAGTTTTGAAATAATCTGTTAGGGCGGTTGGACAAACATGACTTAATCGATTCAGAATTTTAAGCTACTCAGAAACTAATATCCTATGTTTTTATCTGAGAGCTTTTAAATAATGGCGAATTCTTAATACCTTTCGACTGTACGTTCGTGCGGTATAAATAAAGTGTAACTTCCCTTTATTACTTTTTGGAATAATTCAAATTTTCAAGCTCATTTCGGCGTACCAAAATGTTAATCGACATTACTCTCAATATAATCTTCATGGAAAACCAGTATTCATTTCGGATAGTTGAGGTATAAAAAATAAGAAATTTTACGTATCCTCCCTCCTCGGTATATTCGCTCAATAAATTGTCTTAAAAAATTCTTACTAGTTTAAATTTGCATTTATTTTTGGAATTTTTTTTTTTGATGTCAGCTGTCGCCAATTATCGCATAAATTATTATTATTATTTTTTTTTCTAATTTTTTAATTAAAACCTTATTTTAAATATTATTATCAGCAATTTATTTACTATTTTTAAGATAAAAAAAATTGCTGGTAGGGTTATCATAATTTTCATTATTTAGTGTAATAATTTAAAAGTACCAAAATATACATAAAATTGTTTACTCCATCATTAAAAATAATCACAGTTATAAAACATTTTGTCATAAAAAAAAATCAAATACAAGTAAATTTGATAATGAGAAATTGATAAATAAACCCAAGGAAAAAAATAGTATAATCATAATGTAAAGACACAATAGAGAGAGTTGATAAGAGAAGTAATTTTTAAACATAAGCATAATACAGTAAAGTCTCGCGTTATGGGTTAGGGATATACGTTTTTCAGCAAAGCGCATACTTTACTTACTTTGGAAAAGTAGGAATACGTTCCATAATTTCATAAAACCGGAACAACAAGTTAAAATTAATTTGTTTGTAAAAGTTACAGAAATAGACTATTCAATAAATTATTTTGAAAAATAATTCAAATTTAGTTAATTACTTAAAGAAAATGCTTTAAAATTACTTAAAGAAATACATACTTAAAAGTTTGAAATAAAATTATATTCAAATTTAATTCATTTTACTTTATTAAAATGAAACCAAAATGTGCTACTTATTACTGCAAATTTTATTTCAAAAATTTTATGTTTGTTAAAAAATTTTCTTGGATGGAATAGAAATAGTCCACATAAAAAGAGACCATACTGTATATTTAGAATATATGAGAGTTTGGAGTATGTCAGACATCTGCTCTTATCATGCATGTATAAAATAATTAAAATTTTTCCATAAAATGAATTTTTATAAAGAGTAAAAAGGTAATTTTTGTCGTTAAATTAGTATATAAATACTTATATAAAGTAAAAATAAAGTTGGGTCAAACCAATGTTTTGTAATGTAGCATTTTTCCCTTCAAAAAAAGTAAAAACCCTGCTTTAAAAAAAAAATCCATGTACATACTGCATTTTTAAAATTACTTTCATTCATATAGAAAATAATGTTTTTTAATGGAAATTTATAGAAATTTGGAAAAGCTTGCAGTTTCAGGGAGATGTCAAAAATTCAAATTTTACAAATTTTGAGTGGCGATAGCTTGAGAGGGTATGGACTTGGAAAAAAAATTTTCTTCTCGCGAAATGAACTATTTATTAGTGTCTAAAACTGCTAAAATTTCAGATTCCTACAATCTGAGGTCTACAAGAAAAATAATATTAAAAATCTAAAGATTTAATTTTGTATTTTTAAATTTCAAATATGCTAATGCTGCGCTAGAAAAAGCTAACCACTACTTTTTTGCGTTTACAGGATTTAAAACATGTTTGTGGTTTTTTTACAATAAATAGTCAAAAAATTACATTTTTAGAGCAATTACAAGCTGTAGCTTTTTGAGGGGGGAGATAGGTAAAAATTTTCTTCTGCTTCTGGAAATAAGTTTCTAGTTCTTAATTCTGGAAATAAGTTTCTAGTAAAGATCTATGTCTGTGTGAAATTTCAAATTTTTATTTTCAAGGATGTAGAAGTTTTGTAAACATGTGTGCAAAGTAAAACTAATGAGTACTTTTTTTCAAAATTTTTTTTTGTAAAAATGCTAAAAAGGAGAATTGAAATTATTTTAGTATGTATGTATGTACTTGAAAATTTCATGTACTTTCAAATGTTTCTCAAGTGATTTAGATGAATACCTTAATTAAGTTTAATGTTTTAACCTTTTAGATAAAACTTCAATCATATTAAACGATAATAGATGGAGTTTATTTTAAGAAAAAAAATCTACACGGTATATTTCCATTATTTTTTTTACTACGGCTCCAAATAGAACCATTTTAAGTATACAAGTATAACCATGCGCATGTACCTACAAATTTTTGAAAACCTAAATATAAAAAAACTTTTGTTGTAAGTTGTTTAAGAGGCTTTCAAATATTGCATTTGCACTTGTAGAAACTAAGTTTCTGGAGCATTATCCTAAAGTGATTTACATTAATAAGATATCGTAAAAACTTTTATTATATGTTGACTTACATTTACATTGTTTGAACAAATATAAGTTGCAATAATAATCCCAAAATATTAATTATTAAATATTAAAATAAAATTATTAAAGTTAATACAATCTACATTGTTTTATTATAAGTATTTAGGTACGCATTTAGTACGCATTCTTTTCGCGATCTGCCGCAAAATGTATTAGTAAGCAAAACATAAGTGGACATTAAATTTCTTGACAATGCATCTTTAAGACAAAATTTAATAAGAAAATTATGTTATTTTATTTCATCAATTTCACATTTATGAAGCTATTTTAAGAGTAAAGCTATTTTAATTTCATTTTAAATAAGGACAAAAAAAAAAATCTGATGTGGCCAGCACATAACCGACCGCAATGTGTATTGTCTAGTTTAGTGAAAATGTTACAGAATATTATAAAAATGTCTGTTAAATACTTCTTTCCAATTTTTAGGACATTAGCAAGCTTATATTTAACATACCTAGAAAAATGTAAATTTGGCTCTTAGTAGAATTTCGCTTTGTGCTACCTGAATTCCCTCAAATGTTCGCCAGTTATTTTCGGTAACAACCAGAACTCAAATATCAAATTTCACGAAATTCCATCAAGTCGTTCCGTAGATAAATGGTGAAAAATGTAAAATCGGCCCGCAAATCAGTTTCCGTGCCCTGAACTTTCCAAAAAATTCATATGTTCATTGTTTTAGTACGAGGAATTCAAATATTAAATTTCAATGAAATCGGTTGATTATTTCTCTTTATATACACAAAAATGTATATTTGGCCCGTAGTAAATGTCTAGTTGCAGACGCCTGATTTCTTCCAAAAGTTATGAGGTTTTGCGGCCGATCGAGCTTATATATGAAATTTAAAGCAAATCGGTTGAATAGTTTCTTTAAAATGGTCAAATATGTAAAACCGGCCCGCTAAAAAGTGCAGTTCCCGAGGCCTGATATATTCCAAAAATTGATCAATCAGTGGTATTGTGGAAGTAAAGTTACATATAAAATTTCATCAAAATCGGTTCAGTCGAACTTGAGATACACGCGTGCACACACAAACCGACAGACCGACAGGTTGCTAAAAATAGTTTATTTACACTTCCCTACTATGGAGAAGTGCGTTGCCACCGAAAACTCGATATGCAAAATTTGTTGCCATCACATAACCTACCTATTGTTTACACAATACGGTCGGTAATAAAATTATCAATAAAAAAAATGTTCATCTGACAAATCGAATTTTTCAGGATTGGAGCCTGGGACCTTTTGCATAGAAATCGTATGATTAGTTTTAACTCATTCAACAGTCACGCGTTTTATTCGTATGTATTATGAAATCCAAATACATAGTGCATGGATTTTAATAACGAATTATTTTATGCGTATACAGTAATTGATTCCTTAAAGTGCTTTTTGTCAACGACTTTAGGTGAAATCTTATCAAAGTGATGTGCATAACTAATTTTTATGTAAGAAATTCTTTGATTTCATCTATTTTAAGTGTCGAAGACAAATAAATATTAGTGTTTTTAACTATTACAGTATGATTGCAGCTTTACTTAAAATAAGATTAAATATTAATAAAATAATACGGTTTTCCTTTTACTTTAGTTCTACGAAAAAAGTTAAAAAAATTAGATCTGTTAGTAAAATCATTTTCGATGGTAGTATTATGTTCACATGTACGTATATGGGTTCGTTGGAGTATAATAGGGCCAATGGAGCGTAGCGAAATTCGATATTTTTTTTTTTGCATTTTCTTAGTAACTATAAAGAAATAATACATTATACTTACTTGTGTGTGAACATATGTATATATGTATATACATATATAATTATTTA